AGTGCTAAGAACTTAGAGGAATTGGGAGAAGGTATGGCGCAGTGGTCAGAGCGCTCGCCTCCTACTAATGTTGCCGGGTTCGATTCAGGCCCGGTTGCCATATATGGGTTGATCTCGCCTTGCTCTGAGAATTTTTATCCAGGTTCTCCGGTTTTCCTCCCTCCACAAACACCAACACTCCAAATTCCAATTCGACCAGGACGGACCCGAATGAAACCCAGCTAAGGCTAAAATGGCTTCCTCTCTTAATATTTTAGTTTAATTTATTGTAATTTAATTTATTAAAGTTGGATGTTCACGTGACGCCATTAAGTTTACCATTTTGGGTGCGCCAAGTTGGATTTCACTTCCTTCTCAGAAAGTCAAAACATAATGTAAATTGATGAAAAAAAAATTGATCCAAAATAATAATAGAATGTATAATGTAACAATTATGCCATGTTTTTCAAGGAAACAAAACTGGCGAAAAAAAACCCGACGAATATTGTGAAAAGACGACATTTTGCGTTTGCTTCGGGTCAGAATGCGTTTGCCGTGGCAATGTATCTTCTTACTTTGCCTTTGTGCCAACGAAACCGCCAGCTAGCAATGACTTTGCGGTTTGTGTTGAAGTTCAGTTAAAAATATTCGCATAGCTTTTAGAGTAAAATAAACTATCGTTACTTTCAAAACTTGAACAATTTTTTTAACTTTTGAAACGCCGTCGGGCATGTATATTGTTATTTAAATTAATTTATCGTTTACGAGTCTTACACTGATCCGGTTACGGCGTGGTTCTCACTAAAAAAAAAAAATTCAACGGAAATCATCTTGAACGTCTGCAAACAGAAAATCGAATTTAAGATAATTCCCCGAGTTGGTCAAAGTGACAATTGATCTATGATTTCTACAATTTATGCCAAGAAATAGGAACTAGTTATCATCAGTTGTTTAAAATTTATACAGACAAATCTGCTATGTAAATTGAAAAGGACTCTTCGATTGTGTGTTGTATTTCCCGACTACTGGAATGTATATCTGATGTTTTCAAGCTTAATTTTGTATTAACGTGAGCTCATGTGAAAGAAGAACAGATGAAGGGATGAAAATTACCAAGTTACTGGGCGCCTTATCTTAACCATAACTCTCGGAGAACCATGGCAACACCCGGCCTTTTAGAGCAAAGCAACCACTATTCCAAAATAATAAAGCTTTTCCACCTGTCTACAGTATATATAACACTATATTTTATTGGTACGTGAGTATTAAAAATTCAATGTCATTTAGTTTGAACCTAGTTAGCTCTTGAGTGAAATGTTAGTGCTTTTTAATATTCACTTTTTTGAAGCCAGCTCTCGTTGTATTTTCTTCTATATTTCTGAGTATGAAGTGCTTTTGGACATATCGACAGTAATGGTAAGAATTTTTCAAGATCAGTCCTATTATTTTAGAAATCTAGCAAAGTGATATGGTTAAGCATGATTTCAGCTCCTGGTTTGACTGACATATTTATTTTTCCTCTGGCTCCTACACAGTAATTTTGTCTAGGAGTTCAAATTACCTTTCAAAATTTACATGTGCGTGACTACTTTGATGGAAAAAAAAATGATTTGAACTCGGATGATGGCTGATTTGGAGTTCACTCTTGAGGATGTTGTCTGACTTAGCAGTGAATACATGTTAGGAAGTAAAGGTATCACTACTGGCTCCTCTCCAAAAATTTGCGCGTTTTAGAATAAATGTGTTGTTGCTTTCTCATAAGATGCTACTAAGGTGATCGTTTTGTTAAATTAAGTTCGACTGGTTTTTTCATCAAACTAAACTTTTAAATTCATAAATGGTTTAATGCAGTCAAACTAAATTGAAAGTTCTTTAATCGCATAATGCAAAGAAAATGTTTAGTATAGAACTGTTTAAGAGATAAATTGCTTTGAATTAAATTTTACATGGCCTTTGCATGGTTGTTCGACGCATACGATTTAGGACAGAAAACACAAATGGCAATTTAAAATGACGACTAACATTTTCGCTTCAGGGTAAAAATTCCTTTTAGAGGATTTCTCGTGCGAGCAATATGTATGAATGAGAAGAAATACCTTGTTCCTAACCATCTGCCACTCACGTAAGATTAACCCTGTTATAGTGTCCCCTGCAGTGTTAAATCTCAAGCAAATGGGTCATTAGTGCCTAGCCAAGATAAGAATTGAAAACAATAACCAAGTGTATTGTTATCCCGAAGAGAAGAGAAGCGCGGTAACATGGTCAATTTCGAGCCTGTCACTGCTGGGTTTGAGAGAATTAACATGGAAATTGATAGATGTTTGCATAACACGTTAAGAACACCAATCAATATCTCTTATCAAGGACAAAAAAAGTTCAATTTTGTTTTCATTTGAGATCTCGCCGCCGCGTAGAAAAGGACTATGGTCTACATAAAATTGCAATACTCCATCCTAGGTTCTAGCCATACTTGATAAGAAGATGTTAAGATATACGATAACCAAGGTTTTCTATTTGCGTAATTACTAATCCTTCCCGCGCCTTTCTACCGCCTCAGGCACTACTCTCTTTCTCGTTCCTGACAAACTGCTAATTTTTTGAGAGGTTAATGTATACAGATTGGTTAGTTTTTTTACCCAGTTTAAAGGGTTGAAAGTTACGTGAATGTTTCGATCCGCACTTCTGAAGTCCTCTTCCATGTTCCTCCGCATGGAAGCCAGCATGAGATGACAGGAACAGCATATGGCACAAACAGATGCACAATGTGACTTCATGAAATCCTCTTCCTGCGTCGAAGTAACATGTGAGTCTGCGATTCGTGACAATTTTAACGTAAAAATTGCTATTCCCTTGGACGTAGTTTAGTCTTGTATTTAAGTGCCTTCGCTTAAGGCTTAAGGCTTCAGCAGAAAGGAAATTCTGTTCCTTCATGCGCATGAAAGGACGATTTTGGCGCGTAGTTAGGTGGTACTTTCCCACCTGTTGTAAACCTGAACTGAGAAAAATTTACATTTTAGAATAAATTGCTCCTTATAACCAATGTACTATAAATTAAAATTACACTCTTGTGGAATCATGCGGTTTTTTTTTTTTTTTAATTTCATCCTGAAAAGCTCGGCATATACACGTTGACGCACTTTAGTATTTCAACAGATTGTCATCTCAGCAAAATAACTTATGAAAAGACTACTGATTTTTCTCTTCATTTTGGAAGTGATTTCCCTTTTCATGTTTAGGTAGACTACTTAGTAGACAGATAGAGTCGCTGAGAAATCCTGTCAATCTCCTCTTTTTTGGAGGATTTATATGTCTGATAAATTTAAGTTTACTGACAGATAAACCTTAATAGCGATATTCGGACATATCATGTACTGCTCCAGTGATAAAAATCCAAAATTTTGAATTTTTCCTTTCTCTTTCACTGAAACACCTGCAAAGAACCGGAAGAGATAGAGAGAGAAAAAAATAAAGACTAGACTTATAAAACCTTTGATCATAAATGCCTTCTTACGTGCAAAATATTTACCTTTGCCTAACGGAAACAATATTCCACTAATTTTCAAGACTTCCTGTTGTCACGTTAACCGATTGCAGAATATAAAATTTGGCTCAACGTCACTTGGAAGCTATAACAGTCTCAGTACATGTTTATTTGCCAATTTTTCCATCAACAAATTACGAAGTAACGGAAGCCATTATCAACTAAATTCTTTGTCACATGACAGCAAAGTAGATTATGTTTAAAGAAAATTATTTTCGATATCCGCTACCTCCAGGAATAACATGCAAATCTTTTGCAACGGAAAAGCGGCCTTTTATCATCAAAAAAGTTGTATGCATGCAGAATTCGATCTTTTTTTTCACAGATTGACGAAGGCATGCGTGAAAGTAATCTCCGGACTTGAGCAACCAGGAATCAGCATTCACCATAATCCCTTCCCTCTAGAAATGAGAAACAGAGAAACAAAGCTGGGGTCTTTTACATCAAAGATCTTGAGACGAACCAGTAATTTTAATTTATTAAACCAAACCCATTAGATTAAAATATAAATACACTCTTTTATTTTTATATAAGAATATAATATATTTTATAAGGATATCGAGGCTGAAATTTGCGAAATTTAAAGGATATTTTAAGAATAAAACCGAGGCTGAGATTTTGAAAAGGTGATGATTTTGTGTGTTGAAAATTTGAGAATAAAATACGATTTTATGTTTTTTACTAAATCGTATAAAATTCGTTTTCCATTCAAAACTTGCCAAAAAGCCAACAAAACAGCACTAGCCTTATGTTCGATACTAATAACATTTCTGCAAGAAGTTATGTGCGTCATATCAAGCTTTAATGCCCGCAGGCTGACTCCAAAATTACTTTAACACCATCCAGACACAAACTAAATTCGAAAAAGGAAATGCCACACGCTATGATCTAAGAATATGCACGAGAATATTTTCAGCCTAACATCGGCAGAAAAATAAGAATATTCAGTCTCGGCCGGAAAAACAAGATTGTTGTAAAAAAGGTGTAGTTCTTCTTAATGTTTCCATTCATGTGTCTTTATACTAAGCCAAAGAGCTGTGACAGTTGTAGTTTTGACACTTAGAGTAATTGTTTTCCAAAAAAAAATCCTCCTGTCCTCTGGCTTTATTTCGAATAAGACATCTTGACGACCATAAGTTGTTTTCTGAAACTTGAGACTGGGTATAAGACTTCTCAACCAAGTAGGTTCTGTTTGATCTCGCCGATAACCTGTGCAAGGGTTCAGTGTTTCCTAGCGAAAACCGATTTTATAATGTGCTCGCCTTTAACATCAAATATAAACACAAGAAATAATTTTAAGGCAGAGTTGCACGGTCATACATTAATCATTTTTTTACAGTAATTTAGAGAGCCGAACGGACTGCAAAGTCCTGCTAGTTTTGTAACTATGACTCTCTCACAATTCAGTTCCAAAGTAAAATAATAACAGCAATAATAATAATTAAAATTATTTTTTTATTATCATTTTTAAAGAGGCTAGTAGGATATGATAGTATTCCATACAAACATCTGAAGTATGAAATCGCTATCCGTAAAAGTTCCTTAGATAAACTATTTTGGTTTTATCCCTTCAGTATTTACTCTTTTGCAGCGAAATTTCTGAGTGTGCCTTGAATGGAGAAGAGGTATTTTTGAATTTTGGAACATTGAGTTTGATGATAGACGCTTGCAGAAATAAAGATCTAGACAATAGCGACATCGGTTAGCGGCATCGGCAGCGGCATAGCGACATCGGTTTGTTCAGTTTAATGCATTCCTTGTTTTGTTCGGTATAACACGTTTTTAACACAAATTTCGAATGCTGGTTATCAGTGTTATCTTTAATTTTCGGTAAGATAAAGAATGTTAATAAGCGGCAAAAACAGTTAATGGCCCCCAACATAATTATTCGCGCGAGGACTAGTTGAGTGATAAACTGAAATCTCATTGGCTATTATTAAGTTTATTTCTTCTTTGATGCGTTTATTAAATGTAAACACAGAAGTGCATTTCCTAACTATGACATACCCAGGGAAATTTTACAAACTGAGCTGACGCTATTTAACTGCAAAAAGGGAAAGAGTTAAGTACGCAATATCGTTGAAACGTGACACCGCTTGATGTAATTATTCAGTTTTGCCGCTGTTTGCTAAAATATAAAATACAAACGTCATTCACCGTACATACCTTGAACGTAAATAACAACACAATTCAGCGAAGCACAAGAAAACGTCTGTATTGAAAAGTCGGTAGGTTATCTTTCAATGCCACTTATTTACTTTTTCACAGCATAAGGCGCGTTTATATATTTCCATGAATTCAAAATGTTAGGGTGATCTTAACCGGCTAAGTGTTCGCTAATGCAAGCAAAATGGGATTTAGCATTTGAAATATCAAACGGCATGTTCAACCGGTAAAATAATAACTTTGCTGTCTAGCGGCTCACTGAAACGACAATATGAAATTTCCTTCATAGCGTTTCTGGTTATTATAAAGTCTTTTCATCAAAAGAAACTTACTGGTTTGGCTTCAATATTGACAAACGCAAACGCAAACCCAATGACAGTACAATAGAAACTAATTTTGCTACAGTATGCTATGAGCTGGCCACAAACTTTGCTACTGACAATTTTATGTCACAATTTAGTGTTTATTAAGTTAATTTGGATTTGTTTTTTCCATTAAGGAATAGAGATTCTTAAAAAAAAAAAAACGAGTAGGCGAATTCTGTCTTTAGCGAGTTACTAATAACATGGTTAAGGACATGTTCATTAAGAAAAGCTTCCTACAAGCGGCCTCGAGTATTTAAATCTTTATTTCATATTTACATGAATTGAATTTGAATTATTCCTCATATCGATTATATAATATGCAATATATTTTTCCTAGATTCATCTTTCAAATTAAAATAGTTTTCCCTAATTGCGATTCTAATTTTAGTCTAAGCATGCAAATTTGAACTTAATATTAAACTGAATACAATATTACTATTTGCGCTTTGTAAACTTTTAACATTTATCAGTAGTATAATAGGTCCCGTCGACAAAACGCATGAAATGTTTTCCGTCCACACTATGACGGAGAAATTTGAAAACGCAACAATCACCGGTCGTTTCGGTTTGTGTTGTCACATGCCGGTCCATCGTGACGTCGTCGTCATCGTCTTGTTCAGGAGACGACGTAGCAACAATGACCACCCTCGAGAACGCAAACGGCGTGCCTCTATCTACCGAATTTGAGCGCGCGAAAAATTTGATGCCTAATTCTAACCATTTTCACTAGAATGTTTACCGGCGAAAATTAACTATTCATGAGGAGTTATACACTTATGCGTTTTTTATGAAGGAGTGTTCTCTAAACTCTGGCAAATCACGTTGTCATTCCCATTTTGGAGGTAAACTTTGAATATTGTAGTACGTCCGTTTAAGAGCGAAGAAAACCAAGTGCAAAATAAGAAAAACAAGTGCAAGCTTTCAATGTTTTAACCAGGCATTATTTTGAATGGTCATAAGTCTTGACTATTGCATGCACATAATACTTTTTTACAATTAAGTGCACAGCCGGAGAGATCTTTAGAATATAATTCTTTTTGACGGCACGTGTGATTCTCTAGTACAGTGCTTTGAAGAAAAAAAAAAAAATCAGCCGTGCAAAAATCGCGTGACAGCTTATCACGTTTGAGATAAAACCATGAAGTTTTAATTATTCAACCCACCATCTTTTTGGGATAAATTTCATTTCATTCCCTTCCATCTTTAACGGTCTTAATTATTGCAAGGGACCTCATGTGTAATTGTTTGTTTGCGAATGGCTATAATGCTGTATGGATGATGTTTGGATGATGTATGGATGATGTCATCTGCCAACAGGTGTATTAGATTAGAACAATTTAATTTTAATTATGATTGTAGGTTTTTATCTAAGTATGTATAAACAGGTATTTTTATCGCCCCCTCCTTTGTTGCAGTGATGGGTATATCCCTTTGCAGGACCCCTTCTTATGTAGCTGTAGATGTAGATGTAGACTACCATTCAGGCTTAGCTCCACATTGTATGACGTCCTGGATTATTTTATTTACACCCCACATATCTTACACATTGAACAATAAGTAACGTTATGTCATACAGACTGAATTTTACTAAGTTTAGCGGTTGGGTAAAATATATTTAACACAAGCTGAAATAAGCTCGCCGACCACTTCTATAACTCTTAAAGAACAGTACGTCTGTCTTAGAAAAGCTCATGCATTCTCTGCCGGAAATGAAAGAAAAGGAAAATTTGCACTTACGTTGAATTAAGGGAAGTCGAACTAGCAATTTTCTCGCTCCGTTTATCAATTAACATCTAAGAAATAGACCCTTCCTCAAAATGGCCACGATTACTGATATATCTATATGTATCTTTAATTTTTAGTTAGCATATGATGAATGTAGAACTATTCTGTAGAAAAGTTATCATTAAACCGTCATCATCATCATCATCATCATCATTATTATTATTATTATTATTATTATTATTATTA